TCTATTGATAGAATCGATAGTTTATTAGTTTAATTGGATTATGCTTATGGTAATGATAATGCTAATAATAATAATATTGGTAATAACAATGTCAATGTCAATGACAATGACAATGACAATGACAATGACAATGACAATGACAATGACAATGACAATGACAATGACAATGACAATGACAATGACAATGACAATGACAATGACAATGACAATGACAATGACAATGACAATGACAATGACAATGACAATGACAATGACAATGACAATGACAATGACAATGACAATGACAATGACAATGACAATGACAATGACAATGACAATGACAATGACAATGACAATGACAATGACAATGACAATGACAATGACAATGACAATGACAATGACAATGACAATGACAATGACAATGACAATGACAATGACAATGACAATGACAATGACAATGACAATGACAATGACAATGACAAATGACAAATGACAATGACAATGACAATGACAATGACAATGGCAATGGCAATGACAATAAAAAAGAGAACGATATTGATAATAGTGATTAAATTAGTTATTATAATAAAAAGACTTAAAAGATTATCAAGTAATTCTGCGTAGGATTCCAGTCTAATCTACTGTAGGCTGTACTTACCCACCACACTATCTAAATCAATAAGCAGTCAAAAGTGCTCATCATTATTGCCTACTTTATAGGCCTATATTCGCCCCTTATCAAAGAGATTTCGAACTCCAATTCACAATTCAAATGCCTGTATAAAGTGTATAAATGGAAAGTTTTTTTGCCCGAGCTCAAAGGCCGCTGCATGACCAGAGTTGGCTTGAGTGTGCGAGTGTGTGTGTGTGTGTGTGTGTGTGTAAGTCCTGTTGAAATTTCTCCATTACTTTTGCAGTTCAATGTTTTACTTTTACGCTCTTTACCGTCTCAGGTCCTGGCTCGCTCTGTGCAAGGCAAAATTTAGTCGAGGTTCATTTGGTTTTTGCCCGAAAAACTTTGGTGGCCACAAAAGTTTTTGGCTCTCGGTTCTTTGGTAGCGCGCGACGGCAATGTTCAATGCATTTGATTTTCAGCAAAAGTTTTTTGGCCTTTAAGAATTGCGAATTGAATGCGAGTGTGTGGCAGGGTGTGTGTGTGTGTGTACGTTTGAGTGCTTGAGTGCAACATGTTTGCTGGCGAAATGAACGGCGGCGCGTTGAATAAAATGTTGACAGAAAGCAAACTGCCAAGTGCCAAGGCTTACAAAGAATGCTGAAATATAATTGGCGTACAGCTGAAAAATGCCTCAGCTGTAAGTATATATATGTGTATGTGTGTGTGAGTATTGGTGTGGTGTGCCAACAATGGCGTCCAATTATAGCGCAAGACGTGCCACAATGGCCGACGATTTGATGTTACTTCAAGTGCTGCTAACTGATTGGCATGTACCAAAAAAAAAAAACAACTTTTTGCTGCTCCAAACTAAGTTTAACTTTAAAATAAAACAAAGTTTCTATGTATTTTTTTAGTTATTATTTAAATTACATTTATTTTCTCATGATAATCACTTGTGTGTGTTTGTGTGTGTGTTTTGAATGCATTTCATATGCTCATGCACGCAATATGGCTATTTTTTGTTTGTTTGTTTTAAAGTTTTAATTTTACTTTTTATTTTTTGTTTTATTTTTAAATTCATATTCATCAAAGTTGAAATTTTACATAAATGCGCGCTGAGCGCATTTTACATTGAAAACTTTTTAAATGATTTTTTCCTCGTTTCGCTTATGTATTTTTTTGTGATTTTTTTTTTTTCAATTTTCTTTTATTGAATACAGTACATACTTATATTAATTTCCTTTTTGTTTCTTTTTCCGCATGCTTTTTCCATTAATTAGTTAATGGCTATTAGCGGCCATAGACCAATATGCTTTAATTAAAATATTTACAGTGAAAAATGCTTAACAATTGGAAACCAAACAATATTCATATTATATTCATTGTTTCATATATATTTATATATATATTTATTTAATAATAGTAATATTATTATAATTATCTTTTTATAAAACATAAATCAGAACGTGCTTGCTGGCTCTTCGCAAACATAAATACAAACACAAACACAAACACAAACACAAATACAAATACATACACACATATTGAGACATTTTAAAGTATTTTCGGCTTTGTTCTCTTCATACTGTTAATGTTTTTTCGTATTTGTTATTAATATTATTTATGTTAATTTACGCGTCTTTTTCACACTAATGAATCTATTCAAAGTTTCATGGAATTCTTTAACAGCTGTGGTTTTGTTTTTGTTATTTATATTATTTTTATTCGAGTAATGTATTTTGTCGTTATGCTTTATATATATGGCAATGCATGTATTTGTATTTTAAAATTTTTCCAGTTTTTACTGGTGTTGAGAAACATGTTTTTTATGTCAGATGATTTGTATACTCGTTCATGATGGCAAAGGTGGCGCATATGTGTTATGTATGCCTGACATTATGACGGCCAAGCTGGGGATTTGAGTTTGGGAATACGTACTGGAGTGCTAGCCCTTGTCGTATGAAGTATGTAGGTCTTTGGAGGAATGGCAAGTTAGGAATAACTCTAATATAAGGCATAAGAATTACTGTGACATAGACTTACTGTAACATAACTTAAAATGCATGTGTCTATTGGAGTTGCAGACTTTAAACTGGAAATATAATAATTATTAAAGTGCATTCCGAGGTTAGATATGCGCTTTGAAATACTCGTCGGGGAGGCAAATATAGTTTTGACTGTTTTTAACAAAAAAAGCCAAAATTAAATTGACTACGAGGACGAGGGAAACTATAGTTTTCTTCTTTTTTCTTTAATTTATATATTTTTTTAATTTGTGACAAATCGGAAATTTGCAAAAACATTAGTAACCTTTTGCAAGCTGAACAAGTATTATGCAGTCGATTACAACCGACTGCAGTGTTCTTATTTGCCTTGCGTTTTATTTCTTTCTAATTGTACAACACACAAATATGTTTATTTTTTTCTATATATTATTTTATGAATTCTTTTTTCTAGCTGCGCGAGAAAAAAAACAGTCGAGAGAATTGTACATATTTGATTACGTAGATGTTGTTTTAATCTTCAGGTGTTTTGTTTAATTAGTCATTTTATTTGTTTTGTTTTTTTTTTTTTTGTTGAGAAAGCGTAGAAAGTAATTATGAAATGTTGCATACTCTATGCTAGTTGTTTTTGCTATGGCTAACAATTTCGTTTAGCTGATTTTTAACTTTTAGTTTTTTTTTTGGTTTTTTAATGAATTTTCGAAGATTTTTTCCCTCGTTTTTGCTATTTTTTCTTCTACTCTTTGTTTCGAAGCAGCAACATCTAAAATAAGCCTTCTCCTTTTTTGGCTGATTGCTGTCACTTATGCTATATATATATATATATAGTGGTATATATATATATATATAAGCTAAGAGAAAAATTCAATTGATGTAGTAGCTATAGCTCACAACTATATATACACACATATATATATATATATATATATATATATATGTGTGTATATATAGTTGTGAGCTATAGCTACTACATCAATTGAATTTTTCTCTTAGCTTTTCTGCTTTTATGTGGGTTATCAACTCATTTTTTGCCTTTGCTGCCCTATAAAGTTTTATTTATTCATTCAGTCATTTTTGTATGTTGTTGCTGTTGTCGTATTTTGTTAGTTGTATTTACACTTGAAATTAAATATATGCATATATATTTATATTATTTGCTCTGCTGTGTTGTGTTTGCCTTTTGCCATTTGCAATGCAATTTATTTTATTTACAAACTTAATAATGCAATTAATTATCGTTTTATTCTTTATTTTTTATATTTATGTTGTTTATTTTATTAATTTCTATGCCTTCGGGTTTTCATTTAGTAATTAGTAACAGTAATAATAATAACGCTTTGGTATGTCTGTCTTTTTTTTTGGTTTGGTTTTTTATATATATTTTTTATGGACTGAAATTGGCTACTTATGCAAAATGGTTTTCTATATATCAATATGTATTTTGCATAGATATATATTTATGTATAGAAATCTAAAAGTGTGATCCATGCTGTTTACAACTGCTGAAGACCAGAGAAAATCGAACTTAGAGTGCACGAGTCGAGCTTGTTCGACTAGAAAATACCATGAACACTAGTTGGAGTTGCTATTTGAGACAATTGAGGCATTCTGCTGTTATATATGTTTATATATATCAAATTTCAAGTCGTTAGCTTATGTAGTTTTCAAGATCTTCGAGACCTTTTTGCAGACATACAGACAAATGGAAGGACGCACAAGCAGAGCAGCAGACGCAAGTCTACTGAGCATGTCTCTCTCATATGGAGAGTTTATATACCAGCTATATAGTCCGCCCAAAATATACCCGGTCTTATGCATTTCCTGTGTTCAGAGTATGCCATAAAAAGCTCAAATTAAATTGCAATTAGCCAATTGCAATTGCTTTTGGCCAACTAAAGTTCAATAAAAGTGTAAAAACTAAACTCAATTTGTTTTGAAACTTTAACAATTACTTTAACTAATGCATTTTACATGACGCACAGACATAGATATTTATATATATATATTTATATATATATATATATATATATAAAATTGGTGCCTAATCAAACTGGTTAAACATACTGTACACAATTAAGACGAAAAATGATTTTTGTTGTTAATTTAACTTAAGTTGTAAATGCCTAGCAGAGACTGAGACAGAGACAGATTTTTAACATGATTTTTACACAGTTTTTGTTTCCTTCTTTCTGTAAATGGAACTTAGCTTAGGTTTTATGCTAGATTTTTGTAGACTTTTGTTTATTTTTTGTATTTATATATACTTGTTTGTTTCTTTGTTGTTAAATTCTAACACTGAAATAGCTTAAATAGGATTTTTTACTATATATATATTATATATATATATATATATATATATATATATATATATATATATATATTTTAATTTTGTTTTTTTTTTTGCTTTTTGCGCTGCAATTTTGTATTTTGTATTTTAAGTTGCTTAGGTTAAGAAAATGCGTCTGCAGCAGGAAATTAAGTAGACAAAAAAGAAAACAATTTGAGTTGAGTTGCTTCTTATAGCTGTGTTCTTGGCGTACTTACCTAACGACAACCGTGTTTAGCAGCAGACAGGGCGCCAGCATTGACCTAAATATGTGCGTAATGCGATCGGCCGAGGAAGTTTTGCGCCTCGATATGGCAGCCATATTGTCGCCTAAGGGAGAGTGAATGGGAGAAATATAAATTTGAATTAGATTTGCAGTTTTGTTGTTGTTGTTGTAGATGGCAATAGCTGGCGACAGATACTCTGCATTTTCATTAACATTTTAATAAGCTGCAGGCGACGCGCGCTGCTGGCATTTGCATATTTTCATTTACACTTCTTATCGCTCGCGATGGCTATTTAAATGCTAAAATCACAAGAAATTCAATTTGGCCGCGAGGCAGTCATGCAAATTGCATGCAACTGTTACGTGCAACAACTAAAAACACCAACGCCAGCAGCCCTGCCCCACGCCCTCTTTAACAATTTGCACGCTAAACAGCTGCCACGAGCTGAGCTGCATTAGCAACAACAGCGGCAGCTGCAACAGCTGCTAAATCCCCACTCAGATTTCATGATTTCGCTCACCTTTTGATACAAAGACATAAATGCTAGCTGGCTCGGTGTTGCTGGCAGAGCAGGTGTAGTTGCCAGAATCGGTGATTTGGGGCTCGCGTATAATGAGGCGACTCTGTGTACGTGGACCCGGTGTCGTTTCAATGGATATGTCTCGCCTCGAGTCATAGTAGTTGATGAGACGATCATTTTTTTGCCAGTACACGTACTGCGGTGGTGTGGGACTCTGTGGAAGCGAAGGAAGCGAGGGAGAAGAAGAGAGGGGAGATAGGAAGAAAGAAGAAGAGAATGCATTGAGTATATGTAAAAGTATTCAAATAATTAATTGATTGTTAATTTGACTGAAATGCTTTTCTGTTTAGGTCTATCGATCATTATTGGTATGAAATACTAAGTAATCGATCGGTTTGCTTTATATTCCGCATTAAGATCCTGTAATTAATATCTAAATAAGGCATACGTCGAATATGCTGTAATGAAATTATAGATAATTATCAATGCCATTCCATTTCCAAGCAAAATTATTGAAGCAAAAGTCAAACTGTTTATATATTTCTTTAGTATGACAAAAATTATAGGAATACTAGCTTATTTGAATATATATCAGCTTTTATAAGTAGTCAGAAGTCAAGCGTATTGCATGGCCTGGGCATATTAAGTATACGCACAGGCATTATATCACGTATACGACGTGTGTGATACGAAAACGATCGATATTCAAACAAAAAGATTACACTTTGACTAAAATTTAATTGAAGCCGTAAATTATGGTAGAAATAATTTCGATTATTATCGATTATCAATAAGAATTTATTATTTGTAACATTTTGAACTAACGGATTATACATAATTGGAATTGATTATAAAGACTTTAGAGTACAGTTGCCCTGTTTGCTTGTATTTCTAGTTATCGATATAAAAGTCAAGTTATCGATAGACTTAATTTGCAAAGTCTTTTCATCTTCTCATATGCTTCTATACAGAGCACCTTCACTTTTTCAAGCATTAATATTATTGACTCAAATTAGTATTTTCCTTATTATATTTAGTATTTTCTTACTCACCTTCTCGATAATGCAGACCAAATTGATTGTTGAGCCCATATCAACATGCAGTTCACCAGAGCCTAGTATAAACGCCTCGGGCACAACCACTTGAAGATTCACAAAGTGCGATATGATGCCAGTGGGTGTGGATACCTATAGCCAAAGACAGAGTCAAGTAAATAATGGTAAATGCCAGTTGAGTACATGCTTGGGCAATTGTTCGATACGCATGTTCGATGCTTAAGCATTTGTCGTAATCAACTCAAATGTTAATGCATCTCTGCATCTAACAGGCTCTCTATCTCGCTGTCTGTCTATCTGGCTTTGGTGCAGTGAAACGTTTTGACTGCAAAGAAATGTTGCACTCATTGAAATGCAAATCAAACAATTTCAATTTGGCACGCAAAATGAAACAAAAACGAACCATTTTCTATATATATATGTACCAAGTGGTGGAGTGCAGCTACATACGAACAAAAGTAACCAGAGGGCAGATGGACGAGCTGCTATGCAAAAGGAAAAATAATCATTTCGGCATATTTGCATGCAGTGCTCGTCGGGAGGCAGCACCAACTGACAGACAGACATGCGGACCTTCTCCTAGCCTGGTTCTTATATTGAAATTGCATGCAAACAATTTTTGAAATTGAAGCTACGCTTTTTCCTTTTTTGAAGCTGCCCCAACGAAATCTATCTGCTTCTCTCTCACACTCTATCTCTCTAGTTGTAGTCTCTACTTAGCTGTAAGTCTCGGCGCAGCACTTGTGCGGCTGCTGCACAAACAGAGTTACTGTCAAGTGTCCATTTCAGGCATTGCCCAAACTTTGTTGCCATTCGCTTAGTTCAGTCTCTCGACTCGACTCGACTCGACTCCACTATCTGTAGCCAAGACACGCCTCTGACCATATCCGCTTGACTTTCGGGCTTTTGTATGGCTGGCTGGCTGGCTGACTGGCTTACTTTTTGCATTACTTTGCACACATTCCGGTTTGCGTTTCACTCGCTGGCTAAATATGTCAATGTCCAGTTTATCTGGCAGCCGCAGCGTCTGCCTGCGCGTGACAGCCACATGGTTTCGGCTGTGCCCTGTCAACGTCACATGTACGTACATGCGTACATGCAGCAGGTTGTCTTGGATCGAAACGTCATTTGCATATTACAATTAAATCATGCGCCGTCGAAATCAACGTAAAAACCAAAGGCAAAAAAAAAATGGGAGAAATGTTTATAGGTTGGTGGGGATGGGGACTGAAACCCCAAAAACCTCAATATTGCGTATACGCCTGGCTGTCTGGGTCCAAACGCCGAAATGGAGCATATGCAAATGCACTTTAGTTCATTTCAACTGCATTGCATGCACAAAATATATGCAATTGCAATGCAATGCATTCTCTTTCTCACTCACCTGGCACTCGTACATGCCGTGATCCCGTCGCTGTACAAACTTTATCTGCAGCGTCCACATGTTGGAGCCGGGCGAGTGGAGTATCGCGAAACGTTCATCATTTGTGTAGAGCTGGGCGCCCGAGGATAATATGTGCCAGTCCCGGCGTCGTATCCAAGATATTTGATTCTGTTTTGCCAACAACAAAATATGAGAATATTATATGCCAAATATAATAAAGAACTCGGTCACAATCACACATATTATTGTCTATGTTAATTGCGCCAGCGCGCTCGAAAGTAGGCAACAGAAAATTGAAAATTCACTCACGATACAAGCGCATGCAATTAGTGCCACAAATACATGCAAGTTTGATTATGAAAAGCACTTAAAACTGTAGAGATGAAGATATATATACACATGTGTGTGCCTTTGGATCAGTGCAAACCTAACAAGAGATTTTTATTTCCTTACATAAATAGGTTTAAATTAAAATTTAAAAATATGCAAAATGAATATATATTTATAAATAATAATAATAATTAATAAATAATAAATAATAAATAATAAATAAAAATAAAAAAAGAAAATAATAAAAAGAAAGAATAAGAAAAAGAAAAAGAAAAATAAGAAAAAGAAAGAATAAAAATAAATAAGAAGATAAAGAATAAAGAATAAAGAAGAAAATAAGAAAGAGATAAGAATCAAGAAGAAAAAGAAAGACATAAAATAAGAAGAAGAAAAAAAGAAAGAATAAAATAATAAATCCTAATAATCCCCCTCCTCCTCCTCTCCTCCTCCCTCCTCCCTCCTCCCTCCTCCCTCCTCCCTCCTCCCTCCTCCCTCCTCCCTCCTCCCTCCTCCCTCCTCCCTCCTCCCTCCTCCCTCCTCCTCCTCCCTCCTCCCTCCTCCCTCCTCCCTCCTCCCTCCTCCCTCCTCCCTCCTCCTCCTCCCTCCTCCCTCCTCCCTCCTCCCTCCTCCCTCCTCCCTCCTCCCTCCTCCCTCCTCCCTCCTCCCTCCTCTCCTCCCTCCTCCCTCCCTCCTCCCTCCTCCCTCTCCCTCCCCTCCTCCTCCTCCCTCCTCCTCCTCCTCCTCCCTCCTCCCTCCTCCCTCCTCCTCCTCCTCCTCCCTCCTCCCTCCTCCCTCCTCCCTCCTCCCTCCTCCCTCCTCCCTCCTCCTCCTCCCTCCTCCCTCACTCCCTCCTCCCTCCTCCTCCTCCCTCCTCCCTCCTCCCTCCTCCCTCCTCCCTCCTCCCTCCTCCCTCCTCCTCCTCCTCCTCCCTCCTCCATCCTCCCTCCTCCTCCTCCCTCCTCCCTCCTCCTCCTCCCTCCTCCCTACTCCCTCCTCCCTCCTCACTCCTCGTCCTCCTCCCTCCCTCCCTCCCTCCCTCCCTCTCTTCTCCGCCCTTCTTCGTGCTCTTTCCTCTCTCTTCCCGCTCCAAGTTGACTGCCTCTAAAAATATATCTCAAGTTAAGCCTTGTTTCTTTACAGAATTCTACCGAAAGATAGATGTTAAGTGCTACTCTCAATCCCCAGGCGCATGTAGCTGACAGTCAAAGCAGCTGAGGATGACTGAGGTAAGTTGTCAACTAAAGAATCAGTCTCCACCCCACGGGAAGACCTCATACTCTGCTCCATATCACAACTTGCTAAATTCTTATAAATATTCAGATAATTGTTGCATTTAGCCATAAATTTCTAAAAATATTCTGCAGCTCTTTCAAAAGGCATTCTGCGGACTCTGATTAATTGATATTTTGTCACATGCTTTAGCTCAATTATGGGCTCTGTGTCCATGTCCGTGTCTATGGCTGTTGCGTTCCATTGCGTGCCGCATTTTGTGTTCATTTTTTTTTCGGGGGAGCATTTAATTGCTTGTTAGCAAACGTTGAATGCCAAACAAACTGTACACAATGTCATGGCAAACGTTTTCTAGCTTTCAGCTGCAAATTAAGCATTCGTATTTAGTATATTTCGTGCTCGACTGCCAAAACAAATTGGACATTTGCGTGTCCCGATGCCGCGACGACCCAGCCAAATTCCCATATACAAACAAAGAGAAAGCTGATGCTAAATGCTATATAATTAAAAACGGAAAATTGCAATATAAAATATGCACTAACAAAATGCAAGCGAAACTTAAGTTCAAATTGACATTAGGGCTGCGCTTAAAGTATAAAGGGTAAAACGCGTCCAGGAGGCGTCGCACAATTAGATACACAAGAAAAAAGCTAAACAAACCCAATTGACACCCACACGATCCACGCCGGTTACTTTGCAGACAAGAAAGGCGGTGCCCCCCAGTTGGACGGTTGTGTTATGCGCCATCAGCTGTGGGTGAAAGAAAAGAGACGCAGAAAAGGAGAAAGGAAAGCGGTGGAAGGAGGGAGTGCGGTAGGTAGTGGGAAAGAGGAGAAAAATACAAGACAAAAAGTTAAAAGTTCATTTTTCATGTGTTACCTGCGAAAGAAAAGGTAAAAGGCAAGCAGAAGAATGCTATAAAATTCAAGTAGAAGTGTGCTAGTCGGGTATGCACGACTGCAAGTTGGGTTGATCACCTTCTAGGCTGACTGAACTGTGCCTTTAGGGTTTTTAGCTTAGAAATATCTGCGCCTGCCTCTGCCATACTGTTACATACCCTTGGCCAGGTACATTATACCCGTTTATAGTATTAGGTAGGGTATTTAAGCTTAAAAAACCCACAAATGTTGCCCGCTTCCACAATTAGTCAGCAGAATTAGAAAAGCTAGACATATACAGGGTGAGGCTGATTGAGCTGTTACCAAACGTAGACTGCTATAAATTTTTAAGCTGCATTCACAGGCTGCGTGAGTCAAGTTTTATTTTTACGACTGTCACGTCTTGTGGTAAGACAAAAAAGGAATTTACTTCAAAAAGAACAAAAATTCAACTAGCTAGACAGCAATTACAGATTTGCGCTGTTTTAACAGTTAATTTGATTTTATTACCTTTCCTTTTTTCGTGAACTTGAAATCAAGCAAAGTTGCCCAGTTTGTTGAACAACTGTTAAGATTTTGTATACCCAAATATTGTGACTGGAGATCTTTAGGAGCCTCAGAGTTTAAACGATCAAAGCCTCTAACAGGTGATCTTGGATAGTTACAACACTTTGACAGGAGAACTGAGATAGACACAGATTTTGACTGGAGATTTTGAATAGTCAAGGAACTTGACAGCAGATCTTCAACAGCCAAAGATGTTGAGAGGGTATCTTTGAGAGCCAAAGAGCTTGACAGTGCATCCTCATAAACTTTTACAGGCGCTCTTGTATAGCCAGATTGTTTGACAGCAGAACTTGGACAGTCACTCAAACAGGAGAGCTCCTGAATAGCCTAAGATTTAACAAGAGATTTTGAATCTAGAAAGAGTTTGACTGAAGATCTTTGAGAACCAAAAAGTTTGACAATGGAACTTTTAAAGACAAGAAATCAACTGAGACAAGCCAACAGCCTACTAGGAACTGGCAGAGATTCTGCAGAAGTAAAGCTTTATTGGGCCTTAGAAGAGTATTTTGCAGATCAGATATAACTGACAAGCATATATAGCTGATAGAGTTGTCATAAGATAAGATATAATAATATATATATAAAATATGTATAAAAGAATTCTTTTAAGCTTGTTTCTAGATTTCTATGAGGTTAAGTCAATATTCATAGAGCAAGTTGCCTTGTAATATTAACAGTTCAATTGCCTCACCCTGTATACACGTGTATAGCTAGAGATAGACATACATATTCACATGTATATATATATATATATCTATGTACATATATATATATATATATTAACATAGTTTGACCAATTTACGGCGTGGCCTCTTTGCCTGATTAGATAGTTAAAGACGCGCACGAGTGTAATATAAATAAGCAGTAAAAGATTAATTAGAGCTGACGCGTCTTCATGTTGTATAGTAATTAGCATTGGCCACGCTTTTAAACTCTATTTGCATGTCCTTCGTTGGTTCACATTAGCATATTGATCAGGCTGATAGCTATTTGGACTACAAGGCATCGAGCACACTCTGCTTTGTATTCAATTCAATTTCGTAGACACACTTCGTTGCACTTCATCGACTGTCCGTCCGTCCTTGTGCTGTAGCTGTATTGAGTCAGTTTGTCAATTCTTACTTACCTCGCTGTCCTCGAACATGGGACTGTCGCTGGAGTCGAGATTATTATCCAATTTTGAATCGGCATTTATGCCATTGCGCGTCCATAGCTTCTTCCAATCGTTATCTGTGAGTATTGACTTTTGGTCTAAAAGAAGAGAGAGAGAAGGTTAGACAAGAGCCTGGCAAATAAGCCAAGTCCAAAGTGCAATCGCAAATTGCGTTAAAGGACTACACGGTCGTCGCCTACACTTCTATTTTTTTGTTTGGCAATCAGCAAATGCGACCTACAGTATATATATATAAATCCATCTGTCTATAAAGTTTCGTTCTTTTCTCTTTTATTGCTGACTGCAATTGCTAGTTAAAAGATATCCTTTATCCTTGCTTTACCTGCCGCACAAAATCAGCTGCGAGCTGTTGAAATAATAAAGCTTTTGATTGACATACGAAAACTCAGCGTGTTATTTACGATTATTGCCTCTACATGGCATTTATTGATTCGTCCTACTCACAGAGCCATTGTTGAAAGGGCACACACACACACAGACACACACGCTCGTACTTAGAAACTGTTCTCCCCATAGTCCTTGTCTAATTTGTGTTTATTTTTGGAGCACGCAAACTGCCTTATATGAAATGTAATTACATCAACTTTGAAGCCATGTTGAAAAATTGATTATTAGCTGGAATTTTATTGAGTTAACACAAGAAGAATCCACTCTCAGCCTTGGAACAATTTCTTTTGAATTAAGCAGCAGCTTATTGCGATTGCAATATAACTAATTTTGTGGTGGACAGAAGGAAGTAAGTTTTGAAATACTATAGGAAAGAAAATAATTATAGGCCAACCATACTCGAGTAGAATAAGAAAAGATTTAAAGAATTATTATAGTCTCTATAAATGTAAGTTTACTGAGTCAGGGCATGCCAGGTGTTCATGAAAATTGCATAGAATGGCGCTGCTATTTATAGAAATTTAATAAGTTCAATTTGTGATTTGTCGTTTACCAGCTTGTAGTTTTTTTTTCTGATTTCATGAAAAAACATATAGCCTCACTCCACAGACAGAAATTCTATTATATAAATATTTGGAATTAATAATACCAATAAAAAATTCAACCTAAGTTTCATTCATAAATGCTTTTCTTCTAAAGTAAATTCGTGCAGCTGTTAATTGGAATTCATGAAAATCGCATAGAAAGGCGTTTTAAATAAAATCAGTTCTTGCATATGTTAACTTTGCAAACATAATCAGAGTAAACTGAGAGATGAGCAAAAATTCATTCAGTTATTACGAGGATACATGGCATGGAGAAGAGGTTTGAAAAATTTATTTAGCCAAAGTTAAGTGGGGGAGACGTATAATAATACAGCGATTAAAATCTGTTCAAATAAAATTCACTTCTTTTATGACAAGTTTTAAGCTTTTGCTTTACAGAAGCGAATCTTTTATTAGTGTTTAAAGGGAGTTAGAAAAGAAGTCAATTGGTAATTAGAAAAATAAACATATATTTTGAATTGATGAAAATCGCAGAGAAAGGCGTTTCATATATCTTTACATTCACGTGTACCCCATGAAACGACCGCCAATTTCAGTTTTCATTCATTTTATGGAACATCAGAATTCAATGACCCGCATAATTTTTCGAGCTGTTAAATAGCTGATGAACTTTTGCAGACGCCTTAATGTGTAATTAGTGCGCGCTTTTATGATATACAAAAACAAAATCGATTAATCTGAAAGCAAATGCCGATTAATCCAATTAGTCTGGACAAACAAAATTGCTTTAAATAAAGGGACAAAGTCTGCCTGAGGTCCCTTGACCCATTATGGGTCGAAAGACGTCACCAGAAAACACTTTTCTCTTTTGTTTATATTGAACAAACGCTAATAATGATAAGTAAATTACATTACAACGGTAAACTCACAGTTAATATTTACCTGTGCAGGTAAATAGCAAGGAAACTGTACTTTCGTCTAGCCTAAGTGGCTTTCTAGCTAGATTTCAAGATAAGCGTATGCATGTCCTGAAGTTGACCCTAATAAGAATATAATTTCGATACAAAAGAGTTATTACGAATCGATAAGAGCTAATGGCAATTAAAAGGCAGAGCATGTAAGTTGTTTGGCGACCCCAGCAACTGGACTGTGCTCGACTCGCACTGCTGCCCGCTGGCTTATTAGTAAGCAATTTATTAAGTATACGCCTTGTGCTAATTTGAATCGAGCTAGAGTGCAACGCTAACCAACTAACTAACTAACTGCTATAATGCTCAACTTGATGTTTACTTTAATTAGGAAACTTTGATTGCCCCGGCAACCGGCCACCAGCTGTGAGCGGCTGACCCATGGCCAAATTAAATTTCCGCCACGCTGAGTCTTAAGTTTTTCTTTTGCTGCTTCTTCAAAATGGATTGCGTGCTCAAGCAGCTGGAATATGACTGACCAGCGAGCAGAAGACGAGCCGCCCGAGCGCATATAAACTCAAGAGCTTGGAACGCTGTAAAAGGAAAAGTGTATTAAATCAATCAATCAATCAGCGATGCAAAATAAGAAGAAAAAAAGAGCACAAACTTTTAAGCAGGCAGCGCACACACACATGAACTCTTTCGGCCTTGGCCAAATCGGCACTGCAATTGGATTTTTGTGTGAGTGAAATCGAGGGAGCGCCGCAGAGCGCGTCTCTGTCCTTCTGCAGCTCCGCTCATATTTACCTACTGTCTGCCTTTTGCTGTTAGCCATAAAACACAGCGTAGCTTAGCTCGCACTTTTATTGCCTCGTAAATTTTTATAGTTCATACTTTAGGCATGCGTATGCAGTCCTGAAAACATACAGCTACACATAACCATATCCTCTACTCATATCACTGTTTCGCTCTCTGTCTGTGTCTGTGTGTGTGTGCGTCTTATGCCCTGCACTTGTATTTGTTATTGAATTTGTATTCGTTTTCGTATTTGTTGAGTACATGCGCATTGTCCTTTTGTCGGTGTGTGTGTGTGTGTGTGCATGTAATTTATGCGCCTGTTTTGCCAATGACGTCAAGGCACTGTGTGTTTTTTTTTGTTTGGTTTATGCTGCTCTTCTTTAATTTGAATACTGGTTCATGGTGCGAAATGCAAGAGTATATTAGCTTGCTGTGGGTTCATGTGTCTGCATGCAGGTTGGAGACTTGAAGCCAGAGACTTGAGTTTTGAGAGGTAAAGCTAGAGATTTGTGTGTCTCCTCTTCTTATAGAGTATTAAAACTTCCAAGTCCATATCTTTTATAGCATAAACACTCTTATTTATATCAGCAAAGACTATAAATGGAACAGACCTATTCATAAAGAGCAGCTCAACATAGTCTTATCTAAGATTTATAGCTCATACTCTAGAGCTGTACCAAGTTCCGTAATCATATCTACGACCAACTACAAGAGAAACTATATATCTCGCTTATCATACTCAAGCCTTGCAGCTAGAAGACTACTCTTAGCCTACTCTATACATTGCCTTAAAGGCGTGGCATTTCGGCTATAAACCATATCTAATATCAAAGCTAGCAGCAGCTGCTTTTCTTTTCATTGCCTCTGCAGATAGATGTCAATTGGGTTGGTTTTTGTAGTGTGAACAGGTATTAAGCAGTCAATGATGCCCGTTTGCTATATCTGAATGCTCTTCGCTCAATGCCTATGCTGCATTGACTGTAAATTTAAATAAATATATATATCTATATATATATAAATATCATAAAATACATTAAAAGTCTGCAGACAATAAAAAGTGCGTCATTAATAACAACAAATCGGCGAGGCGGAGGCAAGGCAGAGCCACTTTATGGCGGGTCAGGTCGATGTTGGTGGTCAACAGCAAAAACACTTATATATGACAGTTATATATGTACGTGTGCGTGTGTGTGTATATATTAGCTGTAGAGCTGAAAGAAATATAAATTCTTTATCTTTGCATTTGTATGCATGACAGCGCATACACACACGCATAGGCACAGACATACGCACACATACGCACTGACAAGTCAAAATATATTGCGTATGTTAAGAGGAATGTAAATGCTTAGACTTAGCACAGCAAAAAACGTAGAAGAAGAAAGCCAAACGCACGCTCAAGCCCACAAGCAGAGTCTAAGGTCAAGTGCCATAGAGACAGGGAGAGAGAGGGAGTAGAAGGAGTGTGTGTGACTCGCTATTATAGTAAAAAAACACGCACTGCTAATAAAATGGCTAAAAGTCGCGTATTTCGCTGCTGGCCGGCCACCCGCCTTTAGCTTTTTGGCTCGATACGTGCGCATGTCAGCTGCCCGCGGCTTAGCGGCCGAGAGTGTGAATTATATTATGCCTGAAAGTGGGCAACAGTAATAAAACTTTCTGCTATAGAAATGACAGTGCAGAGAGCCGAATGAGCCAGCAGCAGACTGGCACGACTAGCTAGTTACCCTGTAGAAAGAGAGTGAAGATGGAGAGAGATTGAAAGAGAGAGGCTAGAGACTGTGCAGGCTTGACTAGCTGCTAGGCCAGTTGTAGGAGAGTGAAGATGAGTGAAGAGAGAGATAGAGCGAGAGGCAAGACTAGCTGGGTACTGTGTAGCAGACACGACTAGCTAGTTACCCTGTAGCAGGAAAGTGAAGAGGGAGAGAGAGAGGAGAGAGATTGCCAGCTATCAGGCTGGACTGCAGGCTCGACTAGCTAGGCACCCTGTAGTAGGAGAGTGAAGATAAGTGAAGAGAGAGAGAGATAGAGAGAGCGACAGAGACGACAGGACTGACTAGTTACACTATAGCAAGAGAGTGACGTAAGACAGAGAGAGAGAGAGCAACTGCCTATACTTTACGTACTGCAGGCACGACTAGCTAGTTACCCTATATTAGGAGAGTGAAGTGGGAGATGATCTTGGTTGTTCTATTATCTTTCACTAGCACGACTAGCTAGTTACCCTATATCAAAGCATAGTGCCTGCCAGCCTGCCGCTCCCTGTTTGTGCTGGGCAACACAAATCATGAAGCAACGCTGCCTTTTGCGCATTGCTTGGAGCTAAACTGTAAAGCGATAAATAATGAAGCCAGCAAGTGCGAGTGGCGTTGCCTGCTGCTTGCATGTTTATTATTAATAATAAATACTTCTTGTCAATCTTGCGAACGTTTAACGTTCTATGGCTGTCTGGCACGAAACAGAACTGTTTTCGGGGCGCGCACTTGTCATGTTTCCAAAATGATTATTTATATCCGTTGCTGCCGCACTTGAGAGTGGCAGAGAGTGCGTATGCGTAATATTTTAATGCGCTGCCAATATGTTGGGCGCTGTCTGCTAGCAGTTAAGCCCGAAAGCTGCTTAAGTCAACGTGGCCAAAGTGCTTAGCAGTTTTTAAGCTGCCTGACAGTCGACCTCACTCGAACTTCGGCTGCCTGACTGCCTGCCACATGCTGCGTTGACTCACCGCCCAGCCCCAGTCCCAGCCCCAGCACTGCCACAACCTGAGCTCTCATTTTATCTAAACCCCGTAAGCCAAAGATCGCGCGTCTAGCGTTACAAATGCCTCGAGCTTAATATGAAAACCACTAAGAAAATTTAGCGAAAATAGCTGAAATTTTACAGCGCATTAGAGGAGCATGCAGAAGGCAAAACTCATTTGCACTTGAGAAACATGAGCGCGAGCGTCACAAGCGAATGGGAGACAGAAAAGGGCGAAAGGAAAGGAAAAAGAAAACGAAAATATTGTGAATATTTCTGAGTGTGTGTGAAGTGTGAAGCGTGAAACTGGCTCTGGTCGACCTTGACGCAGGCAAATATGCCAGAGAAGCAGATAGAGTGAAAGAGAGACAGTGAAAGAGGGAAAGGGCGAGAGATAGAGATGTAGCTTCTTCTCTGTGTGCACAGACAGGAGTTGACACGTGTGTTTCGGCTGTTGGTATTGCCTCGCCTGTCAGCCGAAAGTGCTAAGCTGAACGTTTTTTTCACTGAACCTGGCAGATAGCATATACATTATCCAACATACATATATATAATATATGATACACTTATAATCAAAAGTATGTGCACAAAGAAATTTTTTTTTAAGTTATTTTACTGCAGAAGATGTAGATTGTTGAGGAGACGTTGAGCTACGATGCAGCTAAAATGGAGTACGGCTTAAGATGTTGATTTATATAAATATATGTTTCATATAAGTTTAGCTATGCTTCATATGGACATATGCTAGTTTATATGAAGCAAAGATTTGAAGCAGATATTCATATTCATCAGTTATTAAACTATTTTAATCACATTTTATTTGCTTTAGAAATGTAAATTTATATTTCTTACTCTATTATTTGTAGAACTTGTCAAACAAATTGATAATATATATCATATTGATATTGAATTTGTAAATTTATATAAATTATTAAATAATTAAATAATAAAATTATATAAATAATTAAAATTACCAAATTTTAGATAATTATTTGTGTCCTAGACAAGCTCACATGAAACATGCATATACGAGGTCTATTCAAAAAGTAGCAGGAAATTTTAATATTATGTTCAAAAATCCTCTATTTATTTAGGAATATTCATTTCGCTTGCCTTCAAAGTATTACCCACTAAATGTTATTAATTTGTGCTCACGTCTTTGCCAATGATCGAAGTATTTAAAAAAATCATTTTCTTTCTCAGCTGCCCCTTCGCTGCCTTCTTTGGGCTGAAATTGAAAGATTTCTAAACAACAAACTGCGAAAAGTGTTCATTGTCTGCATACTTTTGACTGTAGCTGTAGCTATGCCTGCATAATCTATATACATAACTGTACACATATATACACATTCATACATATATAAATACTTTTGCAGGCCACTGTATGGCTTCAATACTTTTTGTTGGGTTCGTGCTTTGCTTGGTGTCTTTTCCTTTGCTTTTCTTTTTCGTTTGGTAAAACTGACAGTTGCGAGTTCTTGGACTGTTTGAATTATTTGCATATTTCACATTTCACATTTGCCACTTGCCATTTTTCTCTCTGTTTCATTTTGCAATTTCATGTTTTTTTTTTATTTTTCGTGCACTTTAAAAAGTCAATTTAAGAAAAGACAAAACTTGACTTGTCTCTCATTTTTTGTTTGGCATAGATTCTTAAGCCACAAGGCGTGACAATAAATTTTCAATTTTTGCGCTGTCACGCGACGCTGCCACGCCCCCACCCCGCCCACGCTGCTAGAGCGGCAGAGGCGGCGTAATGAGCGCCGAGCCGATAAGGTGTCGCCATTGCCCGCTTTTTTAGCGACGCTTGATAATTTATGCGTAACGCGTTGGCCGCAACAAAAAGAAGCCGCTAAAAAAAGAAGAAGAAGCAGAAACAAAGGTCGCATTCGGGGAGCTTTTAGGTCAAAACCAAAGCCACAAGGGCAACAGCAACAGCAGCAGCCGAAAAAAAATGGCGATTCGCCCTTAACGCTAATCTCTCCCCTGTGTATTTTTCATTATCCTTATTATTTGTGAATGTTACGTGCTGGCCATAACTTAGCGGGGCTAACGATGCGTATACGTGATGCCACACACACACACAGGGACAGAGACTCTCACACACTCCTCCATAAGTAGCAGGCGCTAAGGCATGCCGTGCTCTTAGCACAGCTCTCGCATCCATTTAAACCAAATTAGCCAAAAGGTCAAAAATGTGCCGCGGGCCAAGCACTGCGCGCTTGATGAAAAATTAATAATTGTTTGCCAAGCAATTGCCGACGAGGCTGACTTTAAAATGTGTTTACCTGCACTCACTCGCTCACCTGGCTCTCGCCCCCTCTTGGTTCTCTCAAAAAAAAGTTTTTAGCTAAAAACTGTGCTACACTTGAGCTCTAGGCCACACGCCCATTTCAAATTGAATGACAAACATTTAACCAGCGCAAGTACTACTTCATTTCAATGCCCGTTCACAGAGTAAAAGGAGAGCATATTGGTTTTTCGCCTGTCTGTAACAAAGCAAGCTAGAGACTTGAAGTGTCGTACACTTGGTTAAACTTAATTTTTAGAGTGTTCAAATAGTTGGACTGGCAAATCGTTAAGGCGTGGCAACTCGTCAGTTACTAAAGTTTTACTTAAGCAGTAGACTTGTCTGTAAGACTTTTGTTAGAAATATATAGCATATATACTTGCGCCCATATAGCGCATACTCAGTCGCTTTAGAGCCAGAGCCAGAAAGTATGACAAATTAGTTACTGTGAATCCAGTCTACAGATTCAACAAAACCTAATTATATATATGTGTATTGAGGTTAGCTTTTGAGCTCTTCCTTTATCTGACTTTAATTTTCTATCATCTATCTATCTTTTATTTTCTGTCTTTTATTTTGTCTTTTTTTTCTGTCTTATATATTCAATCTTCCGTCTTTAACCTTCCATCTTCTGTTTCCATTTTTTGTCTGCTATCTTCTTTATTCCATCTTCCATTTTTCCTGTTTAATTTTCCATCTTTCATCTTCCATCTTTCGTCTTCTATCTTCTGTCTTTCATCTTCTATCTTCTATCTTCTATCTTCTATCCTCTATCTTCTATCTTCTATCTTCTATCCTCTATCTTCTATCTTCCATTTTCCATCTTTCATCTGGAATCGTCCATCTTCCATCTTTCATCTGTCATCTTCCATCTCCCATTTTCTATCTTCTATCTTCCATCTTCTGTCTTCTGCGTTCTATCTTCTGTTTACTTTTTGTTACCTTCTAACATATATCTTCCATCTTTTATCTTCTATCTTCTCTCGATTATTTTCTATCTCTATCTATCTCTACTTCTAGCTCTATCCTCTATCATTACCTTCTATGCTTATTTGATATCTCAAAAAGAACTAGTATTTCTCAATCGTTCATACCCGTCTATCATTTTTAACTTATTTTGTCTCTCTCCCTGTCTCATAGTCGCTCTTGGCCATTAATGAAAATATTTGGTCTAAAAAGTTTCAGCCGCAGGTGCCAGGTGCTTAGCCCACCTACCTGTTCCAGCTCTCTCGCCCGCCGGCCCTACTCACTCACAGCCTAATAAAATTTGCTCCCGTAATAAATCCGTAAATTGGCAAAGTTTCGTCTAGGCTTAGGCATAGCATTTAATTGCGCGACTGCGGCACGAGGGGCGTTGGGCGTGGCCAACGCGCCCAGCGCTTTATGTAAATACGCTAAATAAACTGAGGCGTTGCGCTTAGGAAAATTTCATTTAAATTCAATTGTTTCGAGGCCACTAAAACCTGAATTCGCTTTTAACTGTCTCGTGTTTTTTTTTTTGTTGCGTCTAGCTGTTGCATTAATTAAATGGGCAGTCAGATTTGGCGGGTGGGCGTGTCACTTACCTGTTTCCAGCGTTGTGGCCAGCAGCAAGGTGGGCAGGCAGAGCAGCAAAATGCGCAATTCCATTAAATGCAACGGCACACGCAACAGCCGCAAGCGCAGCAGCCGTGGCGGCAACATTTGTGGCAGTTTCTGTCTTCTCGCTCGCACGCGCGCTCTTTTTTGTTGTGTTGTGGCAGCTGCAACAGCTGCGGCAGCTTAGCTCTAGCTGGCGTCTTTTCAATAGTTGCCTAGACTACACTGCACAATGGCACATCGATGCCATGCGTATAGCGCGCCCTCTACTTGCTGTTGTTATTGTTGTTGTTGTTGTTGTTGTTGTTATAGCACGCTTATTAGGGTTAATGGCTTTTTGAATGAACGCGCTGTTTCCTTTCAGCAAATGCTAGCACAAAAGGCGCCACAAACTAATACACATATGCTAGTTGCTAGTTGTTGTTGCTCTACAGCTGATGCGCTGATAAATGATGCTGCTGCTTTTAGTTGTTGTTGTTGTTGTTGCTGCTGCAGTCCCTTGCTCCTGCTGCTGCTGCTGCTGCTGCTATTGCTATTTCCTGTCTGATTTTTCTACCACTTTTTCTCTATTGTTGACGCTTGTCAATGCGGTGCTTTTGCTCTACTCCTCCTGCTGTTCCGTCGCCTTCGTCTTCTCTCCTGCTTCTTCTGCTGCTTGTTGTTTGTATCAAATTTGCAGCTTGTTATTTGGCCTGCCGTACGTATTCTTACACTAGCCGAGTTGGCTGCTGCTGTGGGCGGGGCGTAAAACTTGCATGTTCTCCATCATTTTTCATGTCACTGCGCATTAGCACATTAAGCCAAGAGCCATGTATTTGCTATTGTTGTTGCTTTTACTATTGTTGTGCACAGACACACACACACACACTCACACGCCCGCTGAGAGTAAAAAATTAACACTCGCTTTTTATGAAATTACATTCAATTTGCTGTTGTGGCGCTGCTGCTACTGTTTTTGCCACTGCTAACAACAACAACAAGCGACACAATCACAACGTCACGTCGATGATGAATCGCTTTTAATGTAATGTCCTTCATACACTTGTTATATATATATGTATATATATATATTTGTTTCTTTTCCTTTTTCTTTTTCTTTCACTCTGGGGAATTGTCAGTTATTTTGCGCTGCTCTCTTAATAAGTTCTGGCTGATCCATCTAGTCTCTGGTCGCTGTGTATTAGAAAGAAAGTGGCAAAAAGAAAAGAGCATAAATCAGATAAGTTTACACTGTTCAGTTTTGGGTTCAAATTTAAGATTTAAGATTCCAGCTTCCTGGAAGCAAGTAATTGATTTCAATGTTTTCTTTTGATGCTGAACATTTTTTTGATGTTCTTTTTTTGCTGGTTTAATTGGAGAAACTTTTTTAAAATTTTTAATTTAAGTATTTTATTTTTGCATACATTTTAAAATATTTCATTTGACAGTGGACATTTCAGTTCAGAGCAGAAGCAACTAAAGACAACTTTCATTTCGTTCTAAATGAATTTCTTTTAATGAATTGAGCTTGACTTGGATTTTGCTGTAGATAAACTTGGTAATGTAGTAAAATTCATTATAATGTTTCTTTTTTGATCAGTTTTCATTCATATATAAATATATAATAAATATATAAATATAAATATAAATATTTCTAAGGCTTTTCCTTTAGATCAAGTTTTTTAGAGAATATATAAAACTCTTTCTTCAGCTTAAATTTTCTCTTTCTGCTTTTTATTCAAAGACTTTACACTCTGCCTTTATTTAATATTTCTACATGAACTGATACAACTTTTTAAACTGGATGATGACTCCAGTTGTTCTAGCCATGTTCTTCAAAAAGCTATAGACTTGTCATCTAAAATTTATATTTCTGTATTCCACAGGCAGAGCGAGTTTATTATTTGTTTCGTATCAATGATTTGTTTACTCTAAACTAGCCTTAAATTTGTGTTTTTTAAGTGAAAAAGCTAAGGTTTTATGGTTTCTACTGGGCATCTATATAAAGCAAGACAATTTAAAAATGTTTAAGCATTTTTCCCTATAAAAAATATCATTCAAAGATTTATGATTATAATTTCTATATCACTGTTAAAATAGAGCAAAATTTTTGATTGCAAAACTGATGATAATGATAATTCTCACTACGATTATGATGCATCTCTATCTTCGTTTTGTTTTGCAATGAAAAACATGAATTCAGTTTAGTTAATCAAGTTAGTTAGTTAAAATCCCAGTTCTAAATAGCTCACATGAGCTATATTTAGCTTTACCTAGCTTTATTTAATGGCATATAACATTCTTAGCTACATTCATTGCGTAAATCTGCTCTTTAAACTGTGGCCCTAGCAGTGCAAGAGGATGTAGAGCTGAGACTCTTATGTATTATTTATATGTTGCTGCTTGCACAAATGTCAATCCTCCTCAAAGCTTTGGAAGGTTTTGTTTCAGATATCCTAGAGCTAAGCGCTGTCATGTGCCAAGCATTAAAGTTTGCTGCACGCATCTGTATACCCTGACAAATGCTGATCTCAAAAGTATTTCTTATCACTTTTAAGTACAAAATTCAGAGCAGAAATTCTTTTGGTATTTGAGTTTTATTTTATTTGGCAAATTATGAAAGTTGCGCCGTTTAAGAACTTTTGCGCTGCATTTATTGTAACTGCTTATTGCCTATATAGTCGCTTAAATTGTATTTAATTTGCATTCAATGAAAGCTGTCAATCCCATTAGAATTCGGCTGGGGACCATTTGTGATTGTCTTAAGCAGTTTCTGTTACAGATTGCAGTCCACCGCAGAGCTGGCCCGCAGCAGGATATTCGTAATGCGCATTTTGTATTTGGCATTGTAATTGGACCGCTGTGCCTTACAAATCGCCCTAATTGTATGTAGAGTATGGTAGATATAAGGTTTTGTTCCTACATTAATTTGCATACTGAATGAAATTTATTTATTGTGCCTCGCAAATTTGCCACATTATTTATAGGTCAACAAGAGGCGACTCGCCGCAACTTGCTACGCGTAATGAATGGACAAAAGATAGCAGAAGTGGGTGATGGGGGGAGAGAGAGAGCGAGAGAGCAGGAATGGATGGAGAGGGCAGATGGCGACTAAGAGGTATAGATATGAAGCCGAGTTGAGCTGTGCTGCTATGGCAGCAGCTTCTCTACGTTGTAGCTGCGTGGCTTTTATGCTCGCTGATTAAGTGGTCAAGAGAGTATATGGGTTATGTCTTGCTATTAGTTCGATTGGCTACATATATGAGCTTAAGTTGGGAGTATTCGTATGTATATATGGTCATCTTATAAAGTACATAAAGTGCTTGTTTAATTTGTCAAATTTGTGTATGGTTTATTGAGTATTCCTATAACTAGAGACTGTGATATTTAAAATATATGCTCATTGAGAGCAGCTACAAATGAAAATAGAAAGCTCATACGAGGTCTGCTCAGAGAGTAGTGCTGTAGCTACTGATCTGACGGCTGATGTGACGTTTTCTAATGCTTCAAGTAGAAAAGGATCATAAAAGCACGAAGCTATAATACGATTGAGTAGGAACTAAAGAAGGCAGCGAATCAGCCGCTGAACAAGTATAAAATATTATTTGGAGCATATCTGACGCAACTTACTCTGAAGGAACCAAAAGCAATATTCATGAAGAAGTTCCATGATCCAAATTCGTGATACTTTTTGAACTGATCTCGTATACAATTTTCTAGAAGCAAATACAGCTTAGTCTATAGCCAAGCTTAGAATAGCTAGAACTGCAAGACTTAACTAGGCTCCTTATTATTTGCCTCTGCAATAAATAAATTCAAAACGCTTTAAGGCTGTGCATTGGGATCGTATTAGTAGATTGTAGAATCTTTTCGACTTTTACTGCAAGTGGCTCAAGATTTCTGAGGACTTCTTTTAAAAGTTTGATATTGTAAAGAGTAGAGTCTCTTGGTAGCAAATGCGGGTTGAACTATATCAGACATAGTCTTAGAGTAATGAACTGCAAGCTTAATTAGTGAGAAGTTGCCCTGAAGTCTATCTATCATCCTCTTATTTTCTTTAAATTTGGCTATTTTTGCAGCTTGAGCGCGCATCCTGCAGTTGGCTAAGCTCGACTGTTATGTTCAAAGTTGTTTTTTCTAATTTTTTTTTATTTATTTGTTCGCACGCACGAGTGACTAGAGTTTTTTATTTTGGTTTATTTTTTATGCTAAAACCCATAAAAAATCTAAAAAAAAAACAAAATTTTTTTTGGCTATTTGGTCAGCAAGTTGAACGTAACTCATAATTTTTAGCTGCTTTTTTTATTATGATATTTATTTTCTCTGCTTTCCTTTCGCTTTTTATATGTTTTGTTTTCTTCATATATTTTTTTATTATTTTTATTCTAATTTTTTATTATTTTTTATCTAACGCGAAGTAGCAATTGTGTTCCCAGGAGCGCGCTGGATATGCTTTGTATTAGATATATATATATATATATATATGTGAACGTATATATTTATATACTATATGTTATATATGTGTGCTCTATGCTCTATGCAAATGCAAATTGAAATTTTTGGCCACAAAATGGAGGGAGAACGCGTCGCTCGTTGCTCATTTTAATTACAAAACAATGTGGCAACTTAGCTAAACAAATGTGTGTGTGTGTGTGTGTTTTGTGTAAAAGTATGGTTAGTGTATTTAATTAAGCAATGTCCATGGCAACTTATTTGCAAACAAACATTAGCAAAATGTCATGTGGCATGAATTTATGACACACTCGTGTGCAATTCATTTAAATTGATAAAAGCAGCTGATGTTGGCAATAGCAGCAAAGGGTAGGGGCGTGGGGGCGGTGTCGTCTTAGGGGGTGTTGCCTGTTTTGTTACTTTTGTATCAAATGCAGCGCAGTTTTAGAGTAATTCTCTGGCAAATGTTATGCAAGTGGAATGCTATTTTATGTGCCAATGTCTGTGTCGCCCGGCGCTTGAGCTCTCTCTGTGTGTGCAACACAACTATGCACTTAAATGCAGTCACGTATACACATAGAGAGAAAGAGAGAGAGAGAGAGGGAGAGGCAGAGTGTGTGTGTGTGTGGGAGAGTGAGAGAGCAAACGTACATATTATTATCTTGACACAATGGTGCCATAAAACTTAAAGACCCCCACAGCAGTTGCTGCCAACCCCGCCGCCTCGCAAGGGCAACTGCTTGCTGGCAAAGAATGGGTGGGCGGGCAGCTGGGACGTGGCACAACGAAATGAAGGACATGCCATTTGCCGCCCGGCAACCCACTCTGCTGGCATGCCAGAGCAATGTCTCTGTTGCTGTTTTGCTGCTGCTTTCTTTTCATAACACTCGCATATGCACATTTGTACATTTGTATTTCACAGGGCTGTGGAAGGGGGGTAAGTCCAGCTGCAGGCGCCTCGGGGCGCGTTGGAGGTTATATGGAAATTGTAATAAGTTGAAAACCAAAAGCTGATGTCATGAGGTTAGTTGCTCTGGCTCAAGTTTCAAGCGACAATCATGTGCTTTTCTTTTGTATGGCTCAAGCTTGCTGTTGTTGTTGCTGTTGTATGCTGACCTCATACTTCATTTTGTAGCTTTTGTTTGTTTGTAGCTGGCATGCGAATGCTGCTGTTGCTGTTATTGTTGTTGTTGTTGTTGTTGTTGCATAATGCACTGAGCTTGTGCCCCGTTGTCGCTGTCGCTGTCGGAAATGTAACGGCATGCCACATGACACAAACACACAGAACGAGAGTGAGACAGAGAGAGAAACACACACACACACACACACTAAGGCAGTCATAAATATTTCATATGCAACTGCTGTGCCGTATTATTGTTGACAGTAATTGAGGAGAAAGAGAACGCGTGAGAGACGGAGCGCAGCATGAAGGGGGCTGGCTTGAGAGAATCGTAGTAAATTATTTAAATGTTTATTTGGGGATTTGCAGATACACACATACACATGCACACACGCACTCACACACATTTCGCATAGTATAAGAAATCGTAATGCGGCTGCTGCCTGAACTGGACCACAGTGCGTATGATGAATGCCCAATTGCATTTGGGAGTCGTTAGCTAAAGCCAAACAAATCGCTTTAGCCTTATTTATATTTATTATACAGCAAGCTTACACAGCGTTGATTAAGCGTTAGCCATTGCAAAATAGTATGGGCATTTGGCATACGTGTGTGTGCGTGTGGGCGTGGCATCTGGGCGTAGAAAGAAATGCAAAACATTGCAATTGCACGCAATCGAATGCACAAAACTCGTTCCCTGTAGTCAAAATAGCAAAATTCATTTAAATTTATGTAATTTCTGATGTGCCACGCCCCAATTTATAATAGCTTTATCTGCAGAGTCGATCAGCAGGCAATTTATTGCAAAGTCAGCTCTGAATTTGTGGAAAGTTTAGTGTGTAATTTTTTTACTTTGTTTTTGGTGCGTTGTGCTTCGGCTTGAGGGATGGAATAAGTGATTTTTAATATTCTTGGTAAAGCGATCCTGACTCATTATAGCGATATGCTTTGAATTGAATAACCAAATGTTTGAGTTGTAATGTTCTTTCTGAGCTACTCGCCTTTGTTTTTTATCTATTAATTTATTCTTGTCCTTATTTATTTTTGTCTCCTGTGTGGTCTCATTTAATTGGAGCATGGCTGCCATTTTTTTTTTACTTGCTCTTGAAATTATCCAAATTATCCACAGCAAATTAAGAAAAACGATTTGGATGTCTATCAATAAATACTATTCACATGCTTGAACAATCGGGAGCGTTATGGAAATAGGATATTAGATAATTTTTGCAATAAATTTCCCTTTACAAATGATTTTTGAGGCTTGCTGAAGTTGAAGAGCTATTTCAATATTGTGATCAAAATGAAATGAAGCTAAGAACTGAAGTATGTTGGCTATATTCGCTTGAGTCTCTGTGCTGTAGCGTAGCATTTTAGAGAGGCATAGAGAATAGAGAGGAGTTCTAGTAATAACAGTCAGTTGCCATGTTTTGAGGCTCTTGGCTATGAATAGAAATACCTCAAATGAGCTGGGCGACATATGTCTGACATTTTTATAAGAAGCCAATAATAAGAGTTTTAATATCCATTCTAACTTTAATTGTGCTTTTAATAATAGAGTTTATTTAATAAATATTTTAATTTTTACCAATTTCTCATTCAACCAAGCGAGTTCGGTTTATATTTAATTTAAATTTAAACTCGCCAGGCAATCAAGGAAACCCATATACTCTCTGCTCCCCTCTATCTTCTCCTTTTTTCGCTCTCTTCCCCTCTCTTTCTCTTTTCACCTGCTGAATCAGCTTCAGCATTTGCAGCTGTTGAAACGCGTGTTTTTAGAACTTTTATTAAATGATTTTGTTTTAGTTTTTTTTTGTGTTTTGCGTTTGTCAATTGGGGACCCGCAGGCGTTGGTTTTTTAATTAGCATTGCTAATTTACATAATTACTTTTGTCGGTCAAAATAATAGATAATGTTAACGCCATAAAGAGGCGTGGACCGAGTGGAAGAGAGAGAGAGAGCTCTCCATGCGGGAAGTCTGTCATTGGTTGAATGCATTTCAATTGCAGGCAGCAAATTTCACATGTCTCCATTTGGTACATTTTGTCCATTCTGTGGCCAGCATTGTGAAAGCCAAAATGCCCGCCGCTCGCAGCGCTCAGCTCTCCGCACTCGCCCTCGCCCTTTGCACTTGTAAATGTAAATTGCGCGTAACGCATTTTGATTGCACTTGAGTGCCAGCATAAAAACGCGCATTATATATAAATTTGCCTCTTAAAATGCTGACCAACTGGTTGGGGCTTATATCTGCATATGTGTGTGTGTATGTGTACAGTTGTGTGTGTGTGTGCGTGTGCGTAGATTCGCCTTGCCACGCACGCACGTAATTGTTTTGCGCACATTTCCGTTTCCGTTGCGCTGCACTTGAATGACTTTAATTTACGCCCGCTTTTTATATACCCGAGTGGATCCAATTTGAAAATGGTAATTGAAGGGTATATTGGTTGTAGGCGTGGTCGACTCCATAAATAATATACATATATTTGAATCAGACTGAAAGGGTTAGACGATTTAGCCTTGGCTGCTTAACTGTTTCCCGGTCTATTCATATAAGGCAATGTCCTTCTGTTTAAAAATCCCGATTTTATAACTTTTCAGAGCGGCATGCTAGAAAATTCAGCGCTCTTTATAGTTTGTGAGAAGACAGCTTGTTCTACTGCATCCATAACTATTTGAATTTACATAAAATAGATTAAAATCCATATCAAGCTCCAGTTCTTTGAATAGTTTACAATTTTTAGAGCCAGAACCAGAATATTTGGCATATAGATTCATAGATTATAGTTCTGAGAACTTGGTAGTTCGCACTCTTTAAGAGAGTCTGATTTGGTTTATCGATTCTTCTATACTCTTTCAATTCCGCTTCAAGTAATATATGTAGGAAATTTCTATAAAATTTAACAAATAATGCTCAGTTTGTGGAATAATGCTTTAATCATATTGTTGATATAGGAAACTAAGAAGCTAAAAGAAACTCAGCAATAGCAGCTGGTTGCTATGGTGCGAGGTATCTGCTAGTCGTGCACTGCCCACTCGCGTACCCTTACATGTTATTTACAATCTTGTGGCCATTGTCGGAATGTAACAAAGTAATTGACCAATTGTGCTGGCAGCTCCGGCAGTCAGAAGGCCAACAACAAAATTGCCACGAATTTAGCATTAAGCAAATTAAGGTATTTCATAAAGTTTTTTGCCTTAAAGTATTCATTTGGCTATTTATTAAGGCTTCAAATGGAACTGGCAAATATGCAGGGCATATTTGATGAAAGCGACAGTTGAATTGTTCTCTGAGCAACTTTTACTAAGAAAACTGTTAAGTTTCAGTTAGTGAAAAGTCTTAGAATAGTGAACTGAAAAGCTATTGCTGCCAGAGAGGAAAAGTTTTTAAGAAAACTGCACAAAATTTGTGTAAAATAATCTTAGAAATATTATTGTTTAGCTTAGCTCTGATTGGACTGCAAACTTTTGATAGATTTGTGGATTAGGACTTTTAAACTAAATTTAGTTATTTTTAACAATAGTTTGTATTCAGTTTTAAGGAAATAGAATATTCTTTATTGGCTTTAAGCTAATGGGAAAATTTATGCAACATTTATAAACTAGCCTCAGGCTTGAAGTAGCTTAACCCTTGATCAATTGACTTAAAGACTAGGCTGGCTTCGACTGGGCTGGTTCTTGGCTGACAATTATGGTTTAGATATTCAATCAACTACTATAATTTGCTGCTAAAGCTAATAACTTAAATGCATAATTGATTTATATTTTATTATTTATATAATTTTTTATATATAATAAAAAATATTTTATATATAATTTTTTTTTAACTAATTTGCTTCATCTAACTAAAAAGTTTTTTCTTGCTTTCAGTCCTTCAATCACTTTCACCCACACAATCGGTAAGTCTATATGTAATAAATTAATTAATATTTAATCTGAACTATTTAAAAAGCAATTATAAAGCGGTGCGGCTCGTGTTGCCGCTTAGTTTTATAAGCATTTTGCTTGCACGCCTTTGTGCCAGCGTTAAGTATACGCAACGTATGCAATTGAAACTGCTTCACATGTGGCATATGTCGGCATGTTTTTGTGCCTGTGATGGTGTGTGTGCATGACCTGTTTGACTGTTTGCCTGTCTGGCTGCCTGGCGGGCTGCAATGAATCCCAGCTCAACGCACAAAGAGCGCCAGTCGGAAAAAAAAAAAGTGATTCAAGAAACTTGCAAGTTGCAAAAGTTTTTCAATTTAAGCCAGCGCCGAGGCGCCCCGCAGCAACTCATGTTGCATGTGCTCGCCCTGTGTGCGTGTGTGTGTGTGTGAGTGTGTGTGCGTCTGCTTGTTAATTTACTACTAAAAAGCACAATGGCACTGGGTAAGGGTCTGGGCATTTGAATTATTTCGTGTCATTGCCTGCTGGCGGGACGGTTACATTGAACCGGGCTGAAAAGAAGCTCGTGTGTGTGTGTGTGTAAGTATAAGTACCTTATTGCCAGAACCTTAATTGGTAAGGCCGAAAACGTCAACAGCTCATTAAGTTTGTAGCTTGGCGTCAAAACTATTTTAACAAATGTTTAAGACGTCATTTGGCTCCGGGCCTCCAATGTGCGTGTGTGTGTGTGTGCATGTGTGTGTCAACTGTAATACTAACAGTTATAATAAAAATAAAAATAAAAAAACATTTTTCGTGTTTATTTAAGCTTTCAAATTGTACAAATTTTGGTAAATTGTTTTGCGAAAGTCGCTCTCACACACGCGCACGCAGGCAGGTAGGTACACCAGTGTGTGTGTGTGTGTGTGTGTAACGCCCTTAACTGAGTCCTCTGCTTTATTTTACTACTATTTTTTTTCTCTGTTTTCTTGATGTTTTTTTGTGACTGCAGCAAAGTTTTAGTTTGGCAATTTTGCTTTTCCGTTCGCTTCTTTTTACCAAAATTTTTCTATATAAATTTTTTTGTTTTTGGCTTTTTTTTTTGTTGTTGCTCGTTTTGTGCTTTGTTAGTTCCGTTTCCGCTCGGCCTCGGCTCGCAGCGCACAGCACCCACTCGCAGCTACGTGCAGCGCTCGCTGTTCCATTTAGCTAGCTGCCTGGTTGGCCTGGGCCTGGGCCTGGGCCTGGGTTGTTCGTTTTTATTTCATGTGGTGTTGTCAACTTATTTCGGGATTCGGTGATTTATTTTCTAAACAATTAAAGAAAAACAAAAACGTGGGAAGAGAACGAACAACAGCACATGCACGTCCAGATACCATGTATTCCCTCTGCTTGTGTGTGTCTCGCTCTCGGTGTGTGTGTGTGGCATAGAAAGTGGTCTAGCTTTATGAATTTTTCAGTTGAATTATTTACAGGAAAACGCAGGATAACAGTTTGCCAGTTGAGCCAGTTTTTCCCAGCTCCAACAACAACAATTTCTGTCCAAAAAAACTTGCAACTGCAACATGAAAAATGTTTGCTAAATGGCAGCACATTTATGCGGTGCAGACCAAAAAAACAAACAAAAAAACTTGAATATAATAAAAATATGTCACTTGGATTACAGGTAACAAAACAATATTTGCAGCTGTTCATGTTTGTGCAACATTTTGGGTGCGGGGCGACATTTGAGAGTTGAGTTGGATTTTAAAGTGAAAGCTGCGAGTGCATTAGGATGTGAGTTGTTATTAAATTTAAAAGAAGAGACTTTTTATTAAATTTAATAGTAGATTTAATAAAGCTTGACTAATATTGTGTTACATGAGTGTAGAAAAGTTGCGCTGGTAACTTATATAAGTTGAGAGCTTGCTTTCAAGAGAGAGGGAGAGTAGCTTGACTAATATTGTATGATAACAGTGTTGCTTTTCAGGAGATGAACTTGTTTTAACCAACACTTTAATAGTTAGTGTCTTAGATAATAGCCTGCCAAGCTTGACTAATATATCAAGACATCAGTGTTACATTGCTTGAAGCATATTTTTGCATTAGTTAATGGGTATTTAGTTGAGTATTAAATATTGATGATGTCACCTAGAAACTAGTGGCATGATCAATATTATGTGACACTAGTGTAGCTTGTACGAAGTTTCTTGTTATATAGCTAAATATCATGTTTAGCTTGAAGGGTAACCAGCTGCTGCTCTCTTGCTAACTGGCATGACTAATATTGCGTGTCACTAGTGTGGCATTACCTAAAAGATATTCTGATATAATTTCATAGTTAAAATAATTAAGCTATTAGTCTACTAACCACTTGTGACTAATGTTTGACGATACTACTGTACAATTTTTAAACTCTTATAACTTATTTTATTTAATTTAATATATTGCATGGTTTTTTGCATTGTCATGGCATGCCTAATATTTCACACCTGCACTGTTACTTATGGCAAAATTAATTCCGCTTTTTCTTCTATATTTTTTTGCGCTGCGTTACTCAACTAGCACATAAATCGTGGCAGGTATTTCATTAAACTAACGTCAAGTTGTTGTCGCAGCGCATAAATATACACGCGCCCACAACACACACATTCACACACACGCACACACAGCTGCAGATACCTCACGTATATTCACCTATAAAGTCATGTAATCGTCTTCATAATTCCGCCAAGACAAACCATCCAGTATAATATTTAACACGACGCTGTGAACAATAAAGCATATTACACACACACACACACACACACTCGCACACACACACACATTTTTTGCTGCACTACTTGAAGAAAAACTACTGAAATTATGCGCATTTATCAAAGCAACAGCAGCAGGAGTAAGGCACTAGCTGGGTGGGTGACAAGGCAACAGCGACAACAGCAGAAACTGGTGCAAGTGAATGCACACACACACACACACACACACGCACAACGACAAGCGCAATTACATGCACAGAGAGAGAGATAGATTGAGAGAGGGGTGGAGAGAGAGGGAGAAAAGTGCATGTAATTTTGTGTCTGAAAATTGCAAACTTCACACACAGGCACAAAGGTTTTCATATGTGTGTGTGTGCGTGAAGTTGCAATAGTAAAGTCGTAGTCAAGGAAGAGGAAGCAGCTTGCAACTCGCGTGGTAAATAAATCAGGCGTTTGCACATTGCTATAGCAATTGTTGCCATTGCGTTCGCCCGAGCGTATACTTGATATTTAGCGTTTGAAGCACGAAATAATCTTTATGCAAAAAATTGTCGTCATAACTGCATGAAATTAATTTCCATTTACATTTCCCTTTTTTTTCTCACGTTTTCCTTTTGCATACATTTTGATTGATTGTTTTCACTTTGCGGTAAAAGCTTTGCCTAAACTTTGGGTTTCTTTTTTCTTTTCTTTTTTTTTTTGAGGCAGCCAGAGAAATGCATTTGAATTTACAATGTGTCAGAGCAGAGCTTGCGCCATTAATATGCGCATGTGTGTTTGTGTTAGTCTAAATTATGCGACGGTCTTTGGCCTTTGGGCGCATATGTACATATATATATATATATATTTATGATGGCTGAGGCCAAAAAGTTGGCCAATGCATAAAGATATCGCCCATATATATTTATATGATATTATCGCACGCCTCGCCTTCAGAGATAATAATGCACAAAATTTACGATAAGCGCTTCGCTCGCAACGCTCTTTTCTTTGTTTCTTTTCTCAAGGCCACATAATGTGAACCGGTTAGACCATTAAAAAGGGTCCAAGCAACGGCAACGGCAACACAAAAAGGTTGTCCGGCCGCAAATGTTTCGCTTTTCGTTTTCGATTAAGCGGCCGGAAGTGCGCGGCCATCGTCTGTGCGTGGTGGACATCATTGCCGCCATTAAGCCCTAATGACCGTAATAAATAATAATTTATTTCACCTGCAGGGCAACAGCCAAAGAAAGCGCTAAAATCTCTCTCTCTCTTTCTCTTCCTCCTGCTGCTGGCAATTGCATGCATGGCGATTTAAGCTGCTTGAGAGGGCCATCTTTGCCTCGCTCTCTCCCTCTCTCTCTCTCTAAAAACAAAGGCTATTGTTGCATACGGGATTATTAATTGTTTTTTGCTTTGGCGGCGTCGTCGGCGTCGGCGTCGGCGTTGTCGTTGTCTGGATTTAAGTGGCATTTTTATAGCCGCAGCGTCGCCAAGTACGTGCCACGGTTAGCCAAGTAAACCTCGATCAAAACGGGGTAAGCAAGTTGCTCCCTTAGATAAACTAAAGGCGCTTTCCGTTGAGCTCTTTTCTTTCTTTTTGGTTGTTTGGTCGGGGTAATTACCAAGTTTTTGGGTTGAATGTTTGGCTTTGGCATTGGGGCTAATGCATGCTTATTAAAATTTTAGCTGTCATTAGAATGAACGGAAATTGGCTAGCAGCAGCAGCGAAGGTGGCGAAGGCGGCAGTGGGGGAAGCTGGCCAGATGGGCGTGTCTCTACACCTTGTTGCGTGCAGGTGTTGAGCCGCTTCTTTTGGGACATTTAATTGCACGCCTCGCCTTGGCCTTAGCCTTTGCCTTTGCCTTTGCCGCTGGCAAATTAAATTTGATGGCCATTTGACATGAGCAAATCATTTAATGAGCCGCAGGCCATTTGGCTTTGTGGCCAAAATCAATAAATGCCACAAATGCCTGGCTTTTTGGCAAAAAAAAAATAAAAAGAAAATAACGAAAATTAAATGGAAATGAAAGTGAAATGCAGAGAGCAAAACAAATCCGAAACGATTTGGCTCTTAACTATTTTGTCAGCGCTCAAAGCTCAGCGCGTGTCCAATAAGCCGCAGCTGATTTAATCTTGAGTGTAAAATTTTATTTAATTTGAGGATGAAAGTTGTGCGAGTCGAGAGAGCGCGGGAAGGAGTTCGTTATATGATATATAAAAAGCTCAGTTGAGATTTTTATAACTGTCAAAGCTGCATTAATCTTCAATCTAAATTTGCATCTTTATCTTTAAAGGTTTATTAACTTTATTTAGATTTGTCATTAACATAAATAATTCAACGGATTACTGCTCTTAGAAGTCACATTAGTATTAGTATTAGGAACAACAAAAGTAATTCTGTTAAGATCAGTTTCAATATATGATCAAAATCTCTTAAAGTTTCAGCTCTTACTTCTGGATTTAATTTTCTCCAAGATCTTACATAACTTTTGCAAATTCGAACAAAGCTGCAACATTTCTTTTATGAACAATTCTCTAGATTCTTGCCACATCCATTTTCCATATGCTTTCTATCGGTTTAACATCTTTGGTTCGATTTATTCTCTATCTTCTCCCACTCACCCCACCAAGCGTCAATTGCTTTGGGGCATAAAAAATAAATAAAGTACTTAGTTTCTTATGGCGATCAAGAGTAAGGTTTATACCTTAAGGCAATACTACTGCTGAGCTCTCTAAGGTTCAAGCCCCAAGCGTTAAACCCTCTTTGAGGATATCGCAACAGAAAACCGCAAAAAACTGCAGCGGGAACAGAATAAAAACACCGAAATTGGTTGTTTAAAAATTGGCTCTCGAGTGAGGGAGAGAGAGAGAGAGAGCATGTGCTGGTGCTGGGTCGATTCGTTTGCTTAGACTTTGGCTGTGGTTTCGGTTTTTGGGCTTTTCGGTTTTAGCTTAGCTCTTCAAAAAAGCAGAACACATAGAAAAAAAATAAAATCAATAGACGCGGCGCTTGCCAACAATGGGCAATGGGCAACATATGCGGCCGCTTGCAATAAACATGGGCGTGAAAACCACAAAATTTTATGCAAACTCATAAAATGATTTTTACAGCGCGCACTCTGAAATATGCCCCGAGGCTATTGTTATTGTTGTAGTCGGTTATTGCCGTTGCTGTTGCCTTACACACACAGACACAGACACAAGTGCAAAACAGGCCCGTGGATGTGCCACATAAAACTCCAAACAAAAAACTGCAGTAAAACATCGCTGCGAGACTTTGTTCCCTTTTTTTTTTGAGAATTTCTTTTTTTTTTCGCTTGCTTGTTTTTGAGTCCTGCGGCATCAATATTTTCTCTAAGGCGATTTCTGTGGCGCGCTGCAGCTAACGATTTTTATACATTTTTGTGTGCTGCGAATTGGCCCAAAAGAGTTTCGAGATGGCTAGCCAAATCAGTGGCAGCTCCATAAACTCTGCCCTCCATATGCACTGCGGCCGAACTACAGCTGAAGCTGTAGCAGTTGGAATTGGAGTTGAAGTTGAAGTGTGTGCTGCCCTTTTCATATAATAGAAATCGAAGTGTGTGTGTGTTGTGTGTGTGTACAAAAGTTTTGGCCAGCATTTGGGCTGACCTCAAAGGATTTGAGCACGAAACCAATGAGGAGTCGGCACAATGGCAACAGCAACGAACATTGTATTGCGGTCTATTGAACTAATATTGAGGGACACACAAATGTGTGTATATATGACATAGATATATACATGTATATATATATATATATACATGTATATATATATATACGAAGCTTGAGTTGAATTCGATTTGGAATCGGATTTCGGGCAGCGCATGTAAAGTGCTCCCCAAGCGACACAAATTTGTGCATTTTATGATGGGCTTTATCTATGCCTTGCTGTGTGTAAGCCTGGAGCATATTTGTGGGCGTGGCAGGCTGTTAAAGTAGCCAAGAATGCGACGTACTTTGGCATGTGAGCTAGCATTAAGGTCTGTAAACTATGCTTGGATGAAGCTTATTGAGTAGCTAACTAATTGAGACAGCAAAAGGCTTGAGGCGCTTGGCTTGAATAATATGAAATAAATATTGAAAATGAAACAGTTAAATGGACGCTTAAATGAGATTTGAGCTTAGATTTACAATTTACTTTGCCACAAAAAGAAGCTAATAAAACTATATTTTTCCTTAAAAATGATTTGGCTTAGGGCAAAGAAGAGAAGAGCGTAAGTCAAGGATGGCAAACCTGGACTAACTTGGCCTATGGCTTAGTCCCAGTGGCAGTTAAGCTTCTTATAAATAAATATATTTTATACAAAGACATTTACTTAAGCAACAGCTTAGTTAGCTAACAGAATCAATGTTGATAATGTTTATTCCTTAAGAGAAAAGGAGAATATGAGGCTCATTTCTAATGCGAGAATTTTGTAACTAATCAATTATTTTGCGTAGCTTTTTAAGATGCTCAATTTGAATGTAATAACAGGTGACTAAACAAAAAGGTTTCGACTGTTAAAAGACGCTTTGTCGTAGTAAAGGCATAAGTAAAGGCTGGAGAGAGAGCGCATGAGGAAGATAGAGAAAAAGAGAGAGAGTAGGGCAGGAGACAAAAATAGAATGAGAAAGAGGACAAAGGAAAAGACAGGCTGCGCAAGCAAGAACTTGAGCTACAGTCAGAGAAAATAACTATTCTCTAAATGCAACTAATTCCCGCTAAGTAGAAGACAGCTAAATGTTTTTAGTACAAGATCTGCATAGAGCTATAAAGAGAGTTTAATAGATATTCTAATGTTTTAAATTTACTATCAGCAAGTCAAGAGAATTCGAATAACCTTCCACTAATAGACGGCTTTCCACTAATATTTATAATATTAATTATAATATTTTGATATTTTAAATATATGCCCATTTTTATTAATTATTTTTTTATATTTATTTTTATACTTTATATTATTTATATTATATTATTTTTATAGTTCTTTCTCTAACGAGATTCTTTGTAAGCCTCAGCTCATATTCCTCTTTACATGCAAGTCTTTCGCGCTCTTTGCTGCATAAAAAGTCATTTGAATCACAATTTGCTTGCGTTGCTTTGCATTAATATTTATTTCATTTCATGACTTTGACATGAGCCTTAGTCGGGCTTAATTTGTTGGCAGAGCAATGAGCGTGAGCTGTGCGTAAGGTTTCTTCGAGATTAAACACATTCTGAAGAGCTGGGGCAACATAAAATGGCTTTCACAAAGTCAACGCTGGTGACCATCAAAGCAATTTGTGGCGCACACATCAAACACAACTGCCACACGAGGCATTCAGCACAGCTGCCGGCAGCTGCATGTGTGTGGGCGAGTGTGTGGGCGTGTCACAGCTGTTGCGCCCTGGCATTTAAGTGCCAGTTTATTGGAGTTGTCATTGAATTTTGTGAAGTGTTTATGCAGAACTTTGAAGTTCCAAAGAGGCAACGACAGCGGCTGCTCTTCAGTAATAGAAAAGCCTACGACCCCCACCTAACAACCCCCTCCCCCCTCACATATGTGCCAAATGCGCAAAACAATGCGAAAACCAACTGACAAATATTTGCATTTTATTGATTGACTGACAAGTGGCCGCAGTGCCACTGGAGCAGGCGTAAAAAAACGAAAAACATGCGAAGTGAAGAGTAGAAAATTAAATCGTTGCGTATACGACGCGTGTGACGCAATTCCCCTGATAGCCATAAGCAGCTATAAGCAGGCAGCTGGCAGCAGAGAGCGAGAGCGCGTTGCCTTGGCATGTCTGAAGATGTGGTGCTAAAATTAAGCAAATCCCAGCTAAGCAATTCTTACAAGCATGCAAGCATTTATGAGACAAGGGCAAAGATGCCAGCATAGGGCAGGCAGGGGGAGTGTGTGTGGGTGTGCTGCTTTCATGTTAAAGTTCATTAAACTGCTGCTGCTGCTGTCGCTGTTAGCTAGCCCGCATGCCCTCACACATACATTTCAATTACCCTCACCTGCGCGCTGCTATTCAGCTCAAGGATTTCAGCAGCAGCAGCTTCTCTCGTTCGCAAACTTTCAAATTGCTTTTACTGCACATTGGAATGCGCTGTCAATGCGTGCTTAAAGCATCTCTCTGCCTGCCCTGCCCTCTCCTTCCCTCTCTCTCTCTCTGTCTCTCTCTCTCTTATGCTTTCTATTGCATTTTGTAAAATTTATAATTATTGCATTCAAATAAAACTTAGCTTTGGCTGGCGCTGCATTTGGCATGCATTTGGCATGCATTTGGCCCAGTTACCCAAGCAGCTGACATTAGCAACGAATGCAATTGGCATACAAATGAGCAGCAGTAGAACTCAATTTTCAATTCCCATTTCAAGCACGGGCGAAAAAAAGGAAAAAAAAGTGAAACTACTTCCACTTCCAATTCCACTCGCAACTTCCAACTTCATTTTCATTTTCATTTACATGCTTATTACAAATGCAACATGCTTCATATTGAATGAGTGGAGCGTGGAGTGAGGAGTGTAGAGTGTGGGGCGGGGAGGCTTGTGGGGTGGCCCCAAAAAATATTACATTTGTGCTCGTCATTGCCGCAACATTATTTTCTTGAGTTAATTGCGACTGGGATCATCATGAAGCACAATGGCAGAGAGACACACACAGGCGCGGGCGCGTTCGCGGGAACCGTGGCAGTGGCAGGGCCAAGCGTGTCGTGGCGTGGCATAGCGGGCACAAAGCAAGAGTTTCATTTAAAAAATAATGAGTTTTCTGGCTAGAGCGCATGCAAAACAAGGGGCCAACACTGCGACACAGACGAAAATAAAGCCAAATGAAAAAAAATTAACTTTTGCTTTAATTATAAAGCTGACAAAACGCTCGGGAGCAGCGCATGAAAATTGCCAGTGCCGCGGCTCAAGTGTCCTCGCAGTTAACTATAGTCAAAAGTCAGGCCTGGCACTTGTCACACACAGAGAGCAGGGAGTACGGCTTAGCTGTCCATAAAAAAACCAAAGGAAAAAAAAGAGTTAAAGCACGAAAGGGACACAGATAAAGCCGCCAGCGAGAAGGACAGCGGGCGACGCTGAAATCCGTCGTTCTGAAGAAGTCATTTCGAAGCGTCAAGCAAATCATGATAAACTTCAAGTATCCCAGCATTAAAGTTGCCCCGGGGACCCACAGACCCAGCGACTGGCTCAAGCACAAGTTACGCATACGCCCCGCTGACCTTGGCAATATATTTTAATTAATTATGAGGCCACAGCGACCCAAAAAGAAAAGCGTCTCTAAACAAACAGCCGGGCGAAAGTGAAGAGCAGCACATAGTATATATAAAGCATGTGATATATACATATATTCAGCTATTATATACCAAATATTAGCCGAAAATCCATGCTCAATACAGACCTCTCAAAGCCACTCAGACAGCTGCAGCTTCAACTTTAAATACAAAATAACAAATGACTTTTGTGTATAAATGAATGAGTGAACGTGAATAAGTGAATAGATGAATGAAAGTATGAATTAATGAACGAATCATTGAATGTATAAGTGCTTGACTGTGTGAATGCGCCAGCTACACAAAACAATATAAATTACAAACTAGAAGTAAGTGTGGCGTAGTCAGACTCGCAGATACCGGGAAACTTGAAACTGCTGTTTCAATTACTTTGAGCTTTGTTTATGCACTATCCATACATACACACACACACACACACACACACACACACACATCCATAAACACTTCACTTACGCAGCAGCTGCCCTTGTGGAACACGGCTAGATCGACTCAGCTGATCGTTTTGATCAAGCATAAATATACTTAATGGAATCTGCCAAGCCTTCAGCTGTCTGTTACATACATTTGCAGAAAACCTATATACCCTAAATTACACTTTTTCAAGGGTTGAAAGGGCATAGAAATTTGAAGCATGAGACATGAGACTCAGAAATTGGCAGCAGCTCAACTAGATAGATGTATATATAAAAACATATGTATATATGTATATATGTGTATATATATGTGTGCATATGTGTGCACATATGTGTCTATATATGCGTGTGTATATGTGTATATTGTGCACATGTTATGAGCATTCTTTACGCAGCATGAGATAGCATAATATGCCAAAAAGAAAAACTGAGCGCAACTATCCTAAACGGATATAATCACAAGTCAGTTGTGTTTATACAGCGGAAATTAAATATGTTTTAGCTT